TATGAAGTTTTTAGAAGCTCGGACCACCATTACGGATACTACAGAGGATTTAGTGACGAGCAATGGATTTAGATGAATCCTGGATGTGAATTTAAACAGATGTTCATTTGGTTAACATAGCTTACCATGATAGGGTGTGGAAAGTAAACTTCAAAAGTTATGATTTTAACCTATTCATTAGATAGATGTCTATATATGATCAGGAGCGGGATTCAAAATCTGTTGCTACTGATTTGTTCGTGGGCGCGTGTGGATGCGCGTGATGCTTCTGCACATGTGCAGAAGCTTCCGGAGGGTGAGCGGAGCGTCCCACCGCTGCTGCTACCGGTTTGCCCAATCCAGGGCGAACTGGTAGCAACCCACCACTGTATATGATGCTAAAATTTGAATTCCTCCATTAAACAAGGAACAGGATTTACTGGCATAAAAATCCATGATGTTGCTGAACTTCTATGTGTAATATCGAGTAGCTTAGTGAAGGAGTAAAGAAGGAAGGAAGGAAGGAAGAAGTCAAGTTATCTCACATTAAAGTGTAATCCTCATCTGTGGGCCAGTCCAAAGAACTGTGATTCTGGTAAAAAGAATGGAAGGGAGTGCTTTGTAATTGTTGCTCTTGAAGGAAAGGTAAGATTTATTTATTTATTTGGGTTATATGCCACTCCAATCACAGCCGTCCCTGAACAGCTTACACCTTACTACATCCAGATAGTATTAGGATTAACCACAAAACCCAAATGCATATAATCTTGCTGGCGTGTTAATTTTATATGTGTCCAAAGGGTTTGGAGAGGTTATAGATGTTTAGGACACCTACTATTACTGTTCCAAAAATGGCATATATCCTTAGAATGCTACAAGTCTTTCTTTGTTATATATATCATTTGGTGGTTCATTGCATGCTGGGGATGAGGAAAATTAGATGGTGGGGTCATGCAGTGCTTTTCATTTATGATCCTGAAAATAGATGCGGATATTTTAATCAGATTGACATTGGTGGATCTCCTTTAAGTTCTGAAACAGTGCATAACCTTGACATACTGTATAGTTGGCCCCAACCCTGCTGGTTGATCTGTCCCCGTCCACACACACACACAAACACAGCCAGCCGAGGGTTAAGAAAGTACTTGGCACGCACACAGGTCGTTATCTCAAACTTGGCAGCAATATAATCACCGTCTGCCAAGAGCTTTTACTGCAACAGATAACATAAAATTACATACGCATTGCAAATAGTCCAGCAAAACAATATCCCTTTCGGCAGCTTCAGACGTTGTTCAAGTGACTAGCCAAAGTTAGTTTTTGTTCGTCACGGAGTTTTACCAGCCACCACCCTCTCTTATATAGTCTCTGGGGTGTGGTCCAGTGACTCAGTTCTAATCCCTAGCACGCCTCCTTAACTGCTGCAACCATTTATCATGCCTTCGTTGGCGTGCATCCAGGAATGACGGCTCTCCTTCGTTCTCATCCGAGACACCTGGCTCCTGGCTAATCTCCTCTCCCTCGGCCGGCACCTGAGACAGTGCCAGAGGGGAGGGGCCTGGAGAGGGAGGCCTGGCTGACTCGTCTTCCTCATGTTCGGAACTTTCTTCCTCCGATGAAATAGGCTCAGAGGGCGGGGCCACAACACTGGCATTTATAAAGACTGCCAACACTATTCTTCTATTCCCAGACCTTTGAATTATGGTATGCTGGAACCCTAGTTGAATGATAATATTACTGCTGTTTGGATTGTCATTTTATTTATTTTTTTATTATTGTTTGTAGATATAGAGTGGTGCGGCGGCCTAGAGGTGGAGCTCTTGCCTCACAATCAGGAGGCTGTGAGTTTGATCCTAGGTAGAGGCAGATATTTCTCTCTCTGGGCACAGTGAGAATATATCTGCTGAACAAAGCTCCACATTGGTGACAGGAAGAGCATCCGTCCATTAAACGCTCTGCTAGTTCCATTCTGTTGCCCAGACTCCACCCAGCAAGGGGTCTGGGGTCCTTAAATGATGATGATGATTATTGTTTGTAGATATGCATATATGATTTGTTGTTGTTAGTTGCGAAGTCGTGTCCGACCCATCGCCACCCCATGGACAACGTTCCTCCAGGCCTTCCTGTCCTCTACCATCCTCTGGAGTCCATTTAAGCTCACACCGACTGCTTTGTGACTCTATCCATCCATCTTATCTCTGCTGTCCCCTTCTTCTTTTGCCTCAATAGTTCCCAGCAGCATTAGGCTCTTCTCCAGTGAGTCCTTCCTTCTCATTAGGTGGTCAAAATATTTGAGTTTCCTCTTCAGGATCTGTACTTCTGAAGAGCAGTCAGGTTTGATCTCCTCTAGGACTGACCGGTTTTGATCGCCTTGCAGTCCAAAGGACTCGCAGGAGTCTTCTCCAGCACCATAGTTCAAAGGCCTCCATTATCAAAGGCATATATATCATATTTGCCTTTGATAATTGAGGCCTTTGAACTATGTGCTGGAAAGACTCATGCGAGTCTTTGACTGCAAGGCGATCAAACCGTCAGTCCTAGAGGAGATCAACCCTGACTGCTCTTCAGAAGTAACAGATCCTGAAGAGGAAACTCAAATATTTTGACCACCTAATGAAGAGGAAGGACTCACTGGAGAAGAGCCTAATGCTGGGAACTATTGAGGGCAAAAGAAGAAGGGGACAGCAGAGAATAAGTGATGGATAGAGTCACCAAAGCATCGGTGTGAGCTTAAATGGACTCCAGAGGATGGTAGAGGACAGGAAGGCCTGGAGGAACGTTGTCCATGGGTGGCGATGGGTCGGACACGACTTCGCAACTAACACAACAAATCATATATGCATATCTACAAACAATAATCATCATCATCATTTAAGGACCCCAGAACCCCTTGCTGGGTGGAGTCTGGGCAACAGAATGGAACTAGCAGAGCGTTTAATGGACGGATGCTCTTCCTGTCACCAATGTGGAGCTTTGTTCAGCAGATATATTCTCACTGTGCCCAGAGAGAGAAATATCTGCCTCTACCTAGGATCAAACTCACAGCCTCCTGATTGTGAGGCAAGAGCTCCACCTCTAGGCCGCCGCACCACTCTATATCTACAAACAATAATAAAAAAATAAATAAAATGACAATCCAAACAGCAGTAATATTATCATTCAACTAGGTTCCAGCATACCATAATTCAAAGGTCTGGAATAGAAGAATAGTGTTGGCAGTCTTTATAAATGCCAGTGTTGTGGCCCCGCCCTCTGAGCCTATTTCATCGGAGAAAAAGTTCCCCTCCCCCACTGCCGGTCCACAAGGGAATCGCGGGTCATTGGGGTGGGGCTGGCATCGATTTGGGGCAAAGGTCTGTTCCCCTTTAATTAACGGAGGACTTTCTTTTAAAGGGGGCGAGGGAGAAAGAGATAAACAAAAACAAAACAGAACTCCAGTGAGGGAGAAACTTTAGGCTATTTGATCATTTTATTGGTCAGTTATTTGTACTAGGCACACTCCGGCCAAGGTTCAAAACTTGTAAACCTCCAGGTTTAAAATGGCTGGCAGAAGGGCGAACTCTGCCACGAGAATTTAAATTCCGTGAGGCTTATACTCCAGAGCAATCTCTGTTTTAAGGCTTCTTTCCATTTCTTCGTGGAAAGTCGAGAGAATCGAACCTCTTCTGGATCAAATCCATTCGGGTATTGGTTGATTCGATCCATGAAGGTAAAGGACAGGTCTTCATTCTCTCGATCCTGGAAAACACCTCCATTTTTATTTTATTTTTTTGGCAAGACTTTTTTTTTACACCTCCTTCGTGCCGCTATGCCAGAGACAGTATTAGAGGGGGGAAAAATCAGGCATTTTCGAAGTTCTCAGCCTTAAAGACTCTAATAAAGGTTTCAGGGGCTTTTTTTTTTAAAAAAGACCGAAATAAGATTCCTTCTCCCTTTTTAAGCAACAGGTTGGATAAGAGCGAAGTATTATTTTTCCTTAGTACTTGGGAAATCCTCCCTGGGAAATTCATTCAAAATTTACCCCCCCAAAAAATCCAGACCAAACTGTATGCTGTATATTTTACTCCCATGAAACACATTTTTTTTTTCCAATGTTGTCTGAAAAGGAAAAACACTAATTATACGAAATGTTATACACGGGGTATGTTTTTACATTGCAGTTTCAAAAGTCACCATTGCATCCACCAGAGGTACTATTCTAAAACTGATATTCACACAATGGGACTTCCTTTTTAATAATAATAATATTAATAACATGTTAGAAACATACAGTGTTGCATTTAGTACAGTATATACATTCCCTTGCTCGCAAGCGGAAAAGAAAAAGGGGGGGGAAAAAAAAGGAAAAACAAATCCCTACTCTCTTGTGTAACATGCTTTATTTTAAAGCCTAACTTTTAAAAACACTGTGGAGATATTACTAACAACTGCTTTTATAAAATTAATTTTGACATTTCAATAGATATATACATCCTTTCCCGTCATTTTTTTTCTTTTAATGTTAACAGTGCTAAACATAAAAAATAACAAGCTTATAGGAACATTAAAATGTCATACCATATCCAGTCAAACGTTTGTCCGTATTTTATATATATTTATAATATATGTCCTTGTCTCGGTTGGGAACTTTTCTTTCCCATTTTTTTTTTTTAGAACCACAACTCTTTCCATTTATTTTAAGGAGCCGAAGAACACCCTTTAAAAAAAGGCCAAGAACGCCGAAATTTCAAGGGTTTCCCTTCTCTTTTTCTCCCTCCGCCTGGGTAGATTAAATTCGGCCGCCTAAAATTACTCCTCCTCTCTCGCTCTCTCCCCACCCGCCCAGCGCCCCGTTTCCTTTGGATTGAAGGTTCGTGTTCTTAAGATGCCGAGGCGAAGAAGCCTCCTTCGTCCCTTCCGACTGTCACGCACGATTGCCTGCCCTTCTTCCCCGCCCTCCTCCCCCCCTCCCACGCAGCAACGAGAGCAGCCACCCCGAAGCCCGGCCGAAGAGGCTGGCTTCCCCCCACCCACCCCCCCTTTTTCTCACACCGGCCTGTCCACGGCGTACTGGCAGGCGCTCAGGTTGGAGGCCGGGGTCTGGACGCTGGCGTAGCCGAAGCTGGAGTGCTGCTTGGCTTTGAGTCTCAGGCTGGCCAGGCTAGAGTTACACGTGTCCCGGTAAACGTAGGGAGGGGTTGGCGGGGCATAGGGGCAGGCGGGCGTGGGCACGGCCGAATTGAGCGAAGGGTTGCTCAGGTTGTTCAAGTTATTGAGGCTGTTGAGGCCGGAGCCCGGCACGCCGGTCACCGCCGAGGGGACCATGCTGGAAGACATGCTCATGGACGAGATGGAGTTGGGGGGCGAGAACATGCTCTGCGAGGACAGCGGGTTGACGTTCATGGAGTTGAAGAAGGGGAAGCTCTTGGTGGAGAGCGACGCCGAGGTGAGGCCCTTGGCGGCCCAGTTGTTGTACGAGTAGCCCGGGTACATGTCGTCGTAAGGCTGCATCAGCCCGTTGAACTGCGGCCCAAAGCCGTTCTTACAGAGTTCCGCCTGCTGGTTCCGTTCCCGTTTCCGCCACTTGGCCCGCCGGTTCTTGAACCAAACCTTAAGGAGAGGGAACAGAGAGAGAGAGAGAGAGAGGGAGGGAGGGAGAGGAGGAGGGAAACAGAGCGAAGGAGAGAAGCTGGTCACTGTGGGGAAACCAAAGGACCCTAGCATGCTCTCCCCCCCTCTCAGCCCACTGCGACCCCCGCACTACGGGGCTTCCCGGGCTCCCTGAGACAAGGGGCAAGCGAGCACCACAAACCGGAACCCCACCTCCCCCACCTCCCCAATCCCCTTTTAAAGGGGATTTTATTGGTTTTTATATTTGAATACTGAATTTTATGTGTTTTTTCTATTGTTGTGAGCCGCCCTGAGTCCTTTGGGAGAGAGGGTGGCATACAAGTTTAATAAAATAAAATAAATCACTCAATCTCCCCTCCCACCACCACTTTTTCGGTGCCGCCCTCCAGCTCCAGCCTCCCTCGGACTTTCCTCATCCAAGGTGTTTTTTTTTTTAATTTTACCAAAAATCTTTTATTTATTTTTAGGCCCTCTTTTTTATTATTATTTATTTATTTATTAAATTTATATACCGCCCTACTCCCGAAGGACTCAGGGCGGTGAACAGCCAAGATAAAATACACATATTACAAACGTTAAAAAAAAAACCAGTTAAAAATACATGAAATGCGTTTGGCCCACAAACAAATTCTCTTAAAAAGAATGCAAGTCCTTCAGCTGAGCCTGAACAATAAACGCGCGTGGCGCCGCTTTTCCATACGACAAATACCTTTTCAAGGCTCCTTTACAGGGGAGGTGGGGAGGGGGGAAGAGAGAGAGGGGACAAAAAAAAAAGAACTTTAAGGGTTGCCCGAACGTGAAATGTACCGTTATTTATCTAGCAAGGGCCTCTCTTTGGCCCTGCCGTTTTCCGAGAGAGGAGCAACCGCTGAAAATCTTTGCATCCTCCCGACCGCACAAGATCTCGCGCTCAACAAGCCTCCCTTCCAAGAAAGCCTTTAAGTAACCTGCACGGAAATGTCCAGGCTGGGCTCCAGAGTTTAAAGGCCCAGTAAAACAGAGCGAGGTTCTGTTGGCAGAGACCTCCCCACCGCCCCGGAACGCCATTTCCTCGAGATTTCGCTGAGGTCAGCACGGAAAACCTGTTTAGCCTAGAATGCTTCACCTTTCGCACAAGCTGGTCCACGGAGTGAACAGTTTTTGTTCCTCTGGCCTTATTAACATATGTATGGCTACATAAACAACCCCGTCTACCCTGGCATTTACATTCGGATAATAAGCACACAAAACAGCTCGCCTACGCTGAATTTTAAACAAATAGGCTTCTCCAGAGAGCGGCCAATCTCCTTCTCCTTAAAAGGGACAAAAATGCTTCTCCGCAGCTGACTTTGGAGACGGGGAGGACTTTGTTCCTAGCCCCGACAAAAGGTTATGTGGAGGTCCGAAGGCGAAGATCGTTCCTAACAAACTGTGAGACCTAGCCAAGAAAACGTCCCGTGCATCTGCTGTTTAGTTTTCACCCCGCGTTTCTGCCATCTCTCTCTCTCTCTCTCTCTCTCTCTCTCTTTCCTTTGCAGTTCATTCAGTTTGATCCGAGTGGTTATCTGGAACAAAAGGAATATAGCTCAATCTTTTTCCACTCCAAACTTCTACCTCCCTTTCCTTCCCCCCAAAGTCTAGAAGTCTAAGGCCAAGGAGGTTAATCCGCTTTAACACCTATTTTTCTACACAGGAGAGGAAGAGACGATCCTCGCGATGGTATTAATAATCCAGAAGTACCTTGAAATTTAAATCTGGTCAATGCTTTTTCTCTCCCGCAGCCCGGGGAAAAAAAAAGAAGAAGTCAACATAAATATATAAATCGACTAGGAAACCTTCTAATAAATCTTTTACCTTAACGGCTGGTGACAGGAACGTCTTTCTTTTCATGTGCTAATCATTAGTAGAGCTAAGCCAGGTCCGAAGGCGGCTGGTTCTCCTGCGCTTTTTTGGCAAACTTTGCTCTTTCTCGACGCGAGAAGGACGGGCGCCTCCGCCGCCAAGACAAAGGCGACAGGCGCGCGCGTCTTTCTCCAATCCACATTCCCAGCTGCCTGCTCGGCCCAGCCGCCCCCTGCGACTTTCTGATGTGGATTGGAAGGGCCAATCTGCTCTTGGGTTGACCCCCCCACACCCACACACGCGAAAGTTCGCTCCAGCCTGACCCCGGCGCCACAGCAACCGAAGCCTAGGCGGCGGTTTGTACTGCTCCGCGCACCCGAAACGCAGAGGCCGCCACTGCAGACAACCTGCAGGGCGGATCGTGTTTCCGCCATCTGCAACGGAGGGCAGAGCAAGAGCCATGCGCTTTTGGAGCAGGGGATCGGACGGCGGCATCGTGCCCAGCTGAAGGTTATATTGTTCAGTTGTGAATAAAGGCCGCTTCCTTCTTTTGTCCGAGGTTTTTGTTTTTAGGCGTTTGGGACAATCCGACAAGTTGTTATAGAGCAATTCAGTCTAGATGTGGTTTACTGCTAACTGGAGCCACCATAACACCCGTAGTACAGTTGGAAATCTCATTAATCGCATCTCCTGTTAGAATACAAACACACGGAGGAAACTTGCCTAGAATCCCAAGGGCAGCAATAGCAACATCTCAAAGAGTAACAATTTTACTCTTTAGGACGAACCAAAAGGTGGTTAAAAGATCCCGGAAGGTTGCTTCAATACGTTACTGTACCGCATTGTTTCCGAAAGGACAATTTTCCAAGAGGACGACTCAATTCCAAACCAGCTTAATTGCAAGCTTTTCCGTTTAAATGGTTTGAACCACAGGAATTCCGGGTGAACTGTTCGAGGAAGCCGGAAAAGATCAGCTTCCTCCTTATACCGTGCCATATTTTTTTCCCCTCCCCAGTCGCTTGTTGTTTATTCGCATTAAAGCTTGAGTCGCAACCCTTCCGATTTTTAATTCAGAACAACTTTGGGATATGTATACGTTCTGAGCGTTTAATTAATTAAAAAGAGTTAACCAAAAGTGTGAAATGGATTTTGGGGTTCATTTGTCTTTCCTAGATTAAATGAACACCAATCCTTTCTATACCGTCCTTTTTTACATTGCAAACGCAACCTTTTATTTTCGTAAATATCGTCCCAAAACAAGGTCTCTTTACACTCTACTCCTTAGTGGCAAAAGTTTGGAAAGAAACGCGGTTAAAGGTGGAGTAAGTAGTAGGGCTGCATTCAAAAGTCCTCCCTTTTCACAGCAATTTTTGGAGAGTCTCTTTCACTCTCATCCAAGAAAACAACTGTGTGGTTCACCACTGTTCCTTTTTTTTTTTTAAAAAAAATAGCTCCTTCTCCTCCTTCCTTTCCATGAGTGTATGTGCGTCCCTGAATGCGTATGTGCGTGCATGTATGAAACAACAGCAGCGACAACACTGAAGCAAGCTGACCTCTGCTTCTCCGGGCATCTCTGCCCCCTTCATTTCACTGGCTTCCACTGAAACCAGCGAAATGAAGTAAAGTGAACTTACTTCCACTTCAAATAAACCTTGGAATCCAATCCAAGTGTTTTACTTACCAACTTTCCTGACTCCAAGCAGTAGTAATTATTCAAAACCCCTTACGGAGTTTTAGAGTCACTAATCCCATCGAATTAAGAGACCCTCACCACAATCTACGAATTCCTGCCTTAAAACCTAAACTCGGTTTACACAGGGAAAACTCGAGCCGCACCGGATTCCATCTGATTTTTCCTACCACGGGTAGTTCTGAACTACAATCTCGATAGAAAAAAACGCCCCTCCCCCTTTCCTCTCCGGCGCATTGGGGAAGCTTTTTCTCTCCCCCCTCCTCTTCCCCCTCCGACTGAGCTGCCTGATCCTGTCGGATTTTAGGGGCTTTTTAGACGGAGCCATAAATCTAAGGCGAGAAGAGGGACGGGGAATAAGCCACCAGAGTTGTGAAAGCGGAGGGAAAGGAGGGAGGGAGGGGGGGGCAAAGAATGCGGAGAAGGGAGCGTCGCGGGGCCTGGGAAGACGGCCGAGGCCTGGCGTTTGGCGCATTTTGGGCTGGGCGCACGTCGGAGCCTGCCCTGAGCCGCTTTCTTGGCGCAGGTTCCCTTTGCTCCTTCGCATCCCGTTCGGAACACGCCGCACAGTCGGGGCCGCCCATCCATCATCTTCGGAGGGGAAGGCAATCCGTCAGTTGCCTGACAGATAGAACCGAGGAGCTGCGCCGGGCCAAAGCCCGCCTCGCTGGAGGCGAAATCGAAAGGAGCAGCAGCAGCGGCGGCCGCCACCACCGCCGCCCTTCCCCGCGAAGTCCCGCCCAGCGTTCCCCACCGCCGCTCTCTTACCCTGACTCTGGCCTCGGTGAGGTTGGTCCAGACCGCGATCTCCTCCCGCGTCGACATGTCCGGGTAGCGGTTGCGCTGGAAAGTGGCCTCCAGTTCTTGCAGCTGCTGGCTGGTGAAGTGAGTGCGCTGCCGCCGCTGCCGCTTCTTCTTGGACGGATCTTCGGCGCCCGCGTCCTCATTCTTGCTCGGCTGGCTTTTCTCTTTCTCTGCGGAAGGCAAAGCAGCGTCGGGTCAGGGGCCCCCAGTCGGGGAGGAGGAAAAGGCAAGGCAAGGCGGGGGCAAAGCAGAAGGAAAAAAGAGTCGCCTCGGTCGGCTTCACAGGCCAGCCACTGGAAGTCCACGCGGGGCCAACTTCTGGGAAAGGGCTGCCTGCGACCCGAGCCCGCTTCATTGCAGCCCCCCGCCGCTGAAAACCAAGGGGAGTCGGCGTGAAGGAGCCACAGTCGGGGCGGTATGACTTAAAATGACTAAGAACCACTTTTAAAAAAAAGAAAGCAGGCGTTTTATCTATCAGGTACGGGAGCTTTTGGGGCAGAAGCAGCAGAAATCCGAAGGGCTGCTTATAAAACGAAGGCGCTTCCTTTCCCAGGGAAAACAACCAACCCATCTGAGAATGGAAAAGCGCCCCGTCGTTTTTGGCTGGCCTGCGTCTGCAGGATGGCTGCCCCACGGGTGAAGAGTGGCTTCCTTGTGCTGTGGATTCTCCCAGGCTTTTGGAAAAGATTTTACCAAAAGCATCGGCTGCAAATGGGAAAGGAAGGAAAAGAAAAGGGGATTTTCCCCCACCACTAAACTACCTGCTTAGACTTGGAACGCGGATTGTGTAAATTAATCACTCCCGACCTGAACGTTTAAACTGCCAGGTCCAAGCAGGTTTGCTGTGATTATTCTCAAGGGATTGCTCACCTCATTCCTTCTCCCTTAAGCATACGGTTTTATTGCAATTAAATATATAACCGCCGGTGGTTGTAGTGGGACAGTACAAGTCTGAACTGACAAATCTCCTATAATATAGAACAAGGGTCTCCACAACCTTGGCAACTTTAAGACTTGTGGACTTCAGTTCCCAGAATTCCCCAGCCAGCAGAGCAATCAGCTCCATTGCCCTGGGTTTAAGGCACCCAAAGACGCACGCACAAAAAGTTTTTAAAAGGACGGACAGATTTTGAGAAGACCAAGTATTATCTTGCATATTCTTACGTTTTTTTAAAGACGTGCCCACTTTGGGGACATCCAGAAATTATATCAAATAGTAGGTCGCAAATGGGAGAGTTGATCTCGATTAATACAAATGACCGAAAAGAATAAATGCCGAATATATATATATATATATAAAACTGCAATCAGACTGAGAATCCTTTCAAAAAGCAGTTCTTTTACGCACAGCAGCAAGTTTTATGTACAATGGGAACTGCAGCAAATATCTATGAATCATATAGACACCCTGTTCTCTTTAGGTCTCAAGATTGTCCTTGATGTGTTAAATTAAAAGCGTTTCTGAGTTACAACGGCTTGACCTTAGTATAATTTGAGGTAGTCATGCTAATCCAGGGTCCATAATATCCAGTGAAAACCTGCAGTATTCGACTCAGCAGAAGGTCAACTGTATCCGTGGATTTAGCCCCAAATAAATAGATAAATAAAAAGTATGTAGCCTTAACCCAAGACTTGGTGGTTGAACCCCGAACTATAAAGTTGACGGTGTTTACTTGCAAATAAGTCCACTTCAGTTCTTTCCTTCTCCCTGGGCTAAAATACTGTACATTGCATATTCTGACAGATAATTCTGAGCTCTTACACACATGAGCTGCAATTGCAGTTGAACTCTATGCACATTGATTCTAAAATTCGTCCAGTTGCTCTCAACAGGACTTACTCTGGAGTAAGCACAGACGAGAGTGGTCTTTCAGCAGCATTTTCTGCCTGGTTTAGCAGAATTTCCCAATGCAGCTTTTTATTGGAAAGTCTCAGAAACTTGCATGGAGGCTTACAGCCAATTTGCTTGCAATCACATTCATTTCACTAATCTCAGATTTGGGGCATCTCGTTATTTCACGAGTCCCCACCCCCACCCCCCACCCCCCACTTAGTTTCCAGTAAGGAAAGAGTTCCAATAGGAAGCCTTTCAGAGAGAGATGAACTCTGCTTAAATCAGGTGATACTCCTGAGAATTGTTGCTCTGACTGTTTTCACTTTAGCGGGCCGAGCTCCTGTTGGGTTTGCTGCCGGGGCCAACTTCTCCCCCTTGCGAATACCAAGGTTGGCATGGAAGGTGGAATATAAAAATTGTCCCCCCCTCTAGACCAAAACGTGGCAAATACCTGACACCATCTGAATCGCCTTTTCCCCACCTTAAAAAAGAGTGGAGAATTGCTTTTTTTTTTCTTTCTGGTGTTCCTTTGCGATTCTCTCTACCTTTCTAATTTGTAGCTATGGAAATAACGGATCAGGTCCATTGGCCATTATCCCCCCCCCCAAAAAAAACCACGCATGCGCCCGTTGCCGCTGTACAATAATGGGGGGAAGAAGAGTGTCTTTAAAGCGAGAAGCCGGGGAAGGTTAGTGACTGGATTGGGGCAAGAAGCGCCTTACCTGCGGCCTCGGGGCTGGAGGTGTCGGAGATGGTGTGAACCTCCAGCCGATGCTTGGCAGAATCCAGGGCCGATCGCGGCTGGCCGGGGGTCAGGGCTGAAGCCATAACCAGAGCCGGCTGTTGCTGCTGCTGGTGATGATGATGATGATGGTGATGATGGTGGTGGCAAGACGAAGAGGCGGAGGAGGAAGAGGAAGAGGAAGGGGAGGTGGAGCAAAGCTTATTCCCGGCTCCCAAACGCTCCAGGCTGAGAGGTTCTTTCAGGCAGTTCATCGAGAGTCTCCAGCAAGCCAGCCAGCCAACCCGGGCGGCCGGGGGCTGAGCGCTGGCGGAGAAGAACCCCGGCGAGGGAGCCCGAGCCGCTGCCAGGGACAGAGGCTGCCGCAGTCGGTGGCCCAGGAGCAGCGGCTGTTTAAACCCCCTGGCCAGATTTCGCTCCTTCACCGGCCTCTCAAGCAGCAGGTAGGCAAGTCAATCAATCAATCAATCAATCAATCCAGTCCGGATCTCAAGGCAAGGGAGCTCCCGGGCCGCCCCCGCTGCGCCGAATCCCCCGCCGCATCCGCCACTGCGAAGCCAAGCGCCCCCGCTGGGAGAGCCTGGCCAACCTGAGCCCAAGACTCCCAAGGCGGACGGGGCGCAGAAGACCATGAATAATCACCGAGAGAAAGGAAGGAGGGCGGGCGGGCGGGCGCAGGTAGATCGGAGTAGATCCAAAGAGCAATCAATCGGTCGGTCGGTCGGTCGCAAAAGCAAGCAAGCAAAGCAAGCAATCCCGGAGCGAGCCGCTGGCGTCCTTCCCTTTCCTTGGGCGCTCGGAGAGCCGGGCTCCTCACTGGCTTCCCTGTTTGCCCAACATCTTAAACCCCGAGGCCGCCTTCCCGGGCCAGTGATATCAGGCGGCCCCTTTCTCTCTCCCCTCCTTCCAGCCTTCCCCCCAGCGGTCCAGACTCGCTGCGGAGACCAAGACTGACGCGGAGGGCAGCCAATCGGAAAAGCGCAACGCCCCGGCGCAGGCTATAATAAGAACAGCCTATCAGACACTCGGGGCAAGGCTCAATGGAAAGCTTCGCTGTTCTTCTCTCTCCTCTCCCCCCCCTCCCCTCCCCAAACCCCCTTCCCTCCTCCAGTCAAGTTTTCAAGCTCTGCGTTGCAAGTCAGCAAAGGGAAAATTGGAAAAATCTAGGGACGGGGGAGGGGATCCGTCGACGAGGCAATCTTCTTATTACCTAAGCTTTCATCCTGGGGGTGGGGGGGGGGGTAACGGGGGGGGGGGGGGTTAAAGCTTTCTCCTGCATTTATTTCGGAGGTGCCTGCAAGAGCTCTTGGAGCCACTCAATAACCCCGACCTAGAAGGCTACGAGCTTCGCAATCGCTCCCCTAGCACCACACAAAAGATTTCCCCCCCCCTTAGATTAAAAGAAAGCAGGTATCCCGGAGGTGAAACGCAGCCTCGAGACTTGGTGGGGTTTTTTGTTTTTTTTTGCGGTGACCTCGGACCTTTGTTTCAGTGACGCAGAAGATAAACTACATTTTTTTAAAAAAAAGGACAAGCCAAAGTGACCGAGAAAGAGATGGTCGTGGGAAAGCGTAGGGGAAACTTCTATCCCCTTAGGACCCTCTGTAATTCACGGCTGTCAATTATTATTACACGGAATACATACGGTAATAAATGTCCCCGATTAACTGTGGCAATAATATTGTTTAAAATCCTCCCCTCCCCCTCTCCGTGACTTTAAACTACTGCAGATGATTTGCACTGATCTTAATGTACTTTTTATAATCATCTACCGATCGGATTCTAAAAGATCCTTGTGCTAATCCTAAACACATTTCATTATTTTGTTGATAAGACTGCAAAGATTTGAAGCTAGGATCCATCCCATACCGGAACAAACAGACGTAATTGGCGCTTTGAGCCCCTTCCCCCCACCTAAAACCAAAACTGAGGTATTGTCTACCTGTTTTAATATGCCGCTGCACTTTTTGCAAATTTTTTTAAAAAAACTCCCTAACATCCTTTTGCTATATTTTATTTTACAATAATGAAAACCAAATTAGAATAAGAAGAATGAAAAAAAAAAAACAACCTAGAAATAAATCGGATGTGCCGAAAACTTTAATTTGGTTTTCGCTTGGCACTTAAAACAAGCCAGGTGAGTGTCCTGGTCATCGAGATTCGCCCGCAGAGACAGGACTTAAAATATATCTTTTATTGAGGCGTCATTGGGATTTAACGCTGCGTGTTTTTACTTTGCTGGAATGACGTTTCCCACCCGCAAATACAGCCTTGCAACTTGTGGCAACAAAATCGGGGTTTAAATCTTTGACAAAAACATACGCATTTGAGCCAGCCTGCCTACGCAGGAGCAGCCCCTTTTTTTTTTTTAAATTTGATTTATATGCCGCCCTTCTCCGGAGACTCAGGGCGGCTTACAATGCGCTAAGCAATAGCCTTCATCTTTTGTATATTTATACAAAGTCAGCTTATTGCCCCCACAAACTGGGTTCTCAATTTACCTACCTTAGAAAGTGAACAAAAACTAAGTAAAACAGAAAAGCGCTCTTCTCCTGCCACCGCTCTCTGCAGGTGAAATGGGCTATTCTTTGTTTTTCGGGTTTTTTTTTTTTAAGGGTGGTGTTATATTACAAACTTTAGGGAAAGGCAAAGAGAATCTCGGGTAGACTTTGCTTCTAGCTGGGCTGCAAAGCCTGATCTGTCCTTCAGTCTCTCCTTTGAGAGTGCGGGGCAGTGTCAATACCCCAAAGCAAGGCTGTATTTCTCTATCTCGCAATCCCCCCCCCCGTCCATTATGGTACCGTCGGTTACTTTAAAAGGTGCTTTGCATTCGTTCCTTAATAATCCCGGGAAGGGGGGGGGAGAAATCCTTTTCACTCTGGATTCCCAGTTATTAAACCCGTGGAGTTCGCAGCAGCGGTAGCAGGAGGATTGACTCAGCCAAAGAGCTCAGATTCGCAGGATTGGAGTCCGGTTTTCGGGATGCGCTCACTTCCAGCAAGCCGTCGCTGATCCCTTGGATGTTTCCATAGGGAGAATGCCTGAGCCGGTCGCTTTCACCCCCAGCCCCATTTCCCCCCCCCACCCTCTTTATGGAAGGTGGGTGCTCGCCCCTTTTGTCGCCTTCCCCGCTATACCCCACGTATAATTTTAGCAGTATAGCTAAGGGGAAAAAAAAGCAAGTCTCGTTAATTTACATGCTGCTCATTATCCGCTCATTAAACGGCGGAGCTTTATCCCTGCGATTTGGCAGCGACCTGCCTCTCCTCGGGACCCCTCAGCGTTTGGATGCAGACAATTCTCTTACATTTGTAGTGGGTTTTTAAGCTGATAAGACTCTAATTTGCTTAAGTCTTTTAAATAGGGGCTTTCAATGATTCTAGCTCTTTTCTTATTGGATTGCCTCTAATTCCCCCAAGATCATAAAGTATATGTATAAAGTAAATAGTTTCTCCCTAAGCACCGCCGGCAGATGACCTATAAGTAAATCAATAAGAATCCGAAGCTTTTCTCCACAATTTGTTTACTAACCATAGCCCGGTTCTCCTTAACCTCCCAGGGCTACGAGGGGGCTACACACGCCGCGTAAATCCCTCCAAGCCTTATTAGAAGCAACGGACGGTGCGGCCGCGGCAGAAATTACTCAGTCGTGGCGCAGTTGAGAACAGGAGGCAGAAAAATGCCGCAACCCGCCTCCCCCCGCCTAGAGAAACAGGGAATTTCTCCTCCAAAGTTGGGAAAAGGGAAGTAAGTAAGAAGACACGAATGAGCTGGAGAAAGGCTAGCGCAGATCCAGCCCTTTGAGGTTGGGTGAAGGAATATCGCCACCCTTTCTCTCATCAGATTGAAAATGCCTCTTTCCGCTCGAAGGGATGCCTTCTCAACCCAAGAGCATCCTAACGCTCTTATTTAAAGCCACCCTAAAGATACACCCCCGTCTTTTATTAAGTTAAGAGGGAGGGGGAAACCATTCCAAAGGACTTTGTATTCACAAGGGGCGATTACAGTAAAGCTACCCAGAAGAAGGTACAGCGCGCTTAGCACCTTCGCTGGTTAAGAAACCGGCGCTCGCCCTCCGCAATCCTATAAATATATCTACACAGAAGCCGGCGCCGCTGCTGTCAGTGAGACTTCCAGTTAAGGGAATATAAGGAGGCTGCTTTGCCAATTTTGAGTTCAGAAGCTGAAGTGGAGACGTGGAAACGCCGGTTTTGAAACGAAGCACAAGCGTAACGCTGTTGCTACTCCTGAGAAAAATGCAGATCCCGTGGATTTTAAGAAGACTAGCCATAGCAAATCAAGGACAAGAGAGGTGTTTAAACCCGGTTAAAGTTGAATTAACGGCTTTACATATATTACAGAATATGGCCCAGGAAACTGTACATGGTGGTTTGAATTCGGAAGAGAATTGTTACCATGCATAGAAATTGTGCAGCAGAACAAGCAGACCCCATCCTGGTGCCCATGGGTGGGTTGGATTCCAACCCTTATAATCTCATTGACATTTCAACACGTTTTGGAGGGCACCAGGTTAGGAAAGGCTCCTGCAGGCATTTCTCTATCTAGTTGAAGTGAGGGCATGGCAGCCTGAAATCCTATGGTTTCCTACTTGATTGAAACCCTCCTTGAGAATCTGGATTTAATCATCTAATCTAATCTTTCAGATCATGAAATCGAATTACTCTTAACTGGTAGCAACTCTCAAATAGAAGAAGCCATTCACAAACTCTCTCCTATTTTGAGGTGGATTACTAGGGTTGAACCTGGATCGTTTCTGTAGAAAAGGACCCACACTTTACCATTAACTTGAGCTATCGTATTCCAAAGCACCAGCCATGGGAAAATGGGCAATCGTATTTTCTGAATGGCTACCCCATCCAGACTTCGAAAGCTTAGACACACACCCAAATTTTGAGTCAAAGACCAGCAGATGGCAGAACCATCCTAACAAATTTAAATCAACGATGATAATGAAAGTATTGATAATATTAATGATAAACAGGATCTGCTTCTGGACAAAAATCAGAAAAGGAAATGGGCCGCTTGAAAATGTGAAAAACAAACACACAAAAAGAGATTGATTCTGGAAGACATGGTTGGCTTCCCATATCATATTTGCCCAAAAAAGTTAACTAATCCAACATTCTGAGTTTTCAGAAGGCTACACTAGTATAAGTGTTTGAATAGAATAGAATAGAATTCTTTATTGGCCAAGTGTGATTGGACACACAAGGAATTTGTCTTGGTGCATACGCTCTCAGTGTACATAAAAGAAAAGACACATTTGTCAAGGATCATAAGGTACAACACTTAATGATAGTCATAGGGAACAAATGAGCAATCAAATCAAATTGATGGTTTAATCATGTGTCATGGGAATTTGTTCATTGCTGTAAGCATGTTTTTGAATCAGCCATTAAATAGTTTCTTTTGGGTTATTTATTTATTTCTATCCCACCTTTATTATCTTTACAAATAACTCAATGCAGTGATCATGTCTTATATCCCTTCCTCCTCCTATTTTCCCACAACAACAACCTTGTGAGGTGGATTGGTCTGAGAGAGAACGACTCGCCCAAAGACACCCAGCTGACTTTCATGGCTACGGAGGGACTCAAATTCATAGTTTCTCAGTTTCTAATCTGGTGTCTTAACCACTAAACCAAACTGGCCTTTATCATCTTCATATATTCGCAGTAATGCTCCAAGGCGGCTTCCATCAAATAAACATCAATAAAACACACCAGCATCATAAAACAAGAAATACCCACGTTAAAAAACAACAACAACCAATAACAGTGTAAAAAACATGGCATCAGTGTTCAGAAACACACCGCAGACTAAAACAGACACTGCAGGAAAGGCTAATGCGTTAATGTTTTATATTCTTTCTTAAAATGGTGTCATGGGG